TGAAAGGCTGCTGCTGGCCACATTCTGATGTGAACCCTGGCAGAAATCTGGAATCTGAGGGGTGGGAGCATGTGACCCTATGTACCCCCTATGTGTTGCCTCAGGAAGACACAGTGCCAGGTACCAAAAGAGGGGAGTCTGTCCCAGGGGCCCAGCCAGGCATGCTGGGCAGAGAGTACCAGGCAGGGTGAGTCAGGTTGGTTGGTCGCCCTCCTCTGTGAGACAGGAGTACAGGTGTGTGCGTGACCTCTCCCTAGATCTGGGGGGCAGGTAGGGTGGGTGGGTGTGTCACCCCTCCCTGTGTGAACCCTAAAGCCTTAAAGATAAGAAGGTAAATTAAAAGAATCCAACTATGCCCTATTTCTTTTTGAGAGGGGTCAGTCAACTTGATGTTAATTTGAACATCTGTACTGCATAGTTCTGATTGCTGTTGAACTTGCTTGAATACAAGTAATTTTACCAAGTGTCCCATAGTCAGCATAGGGAAATTTTTGGTCACCCTACTCAAATTTCCATCCCATCTCTCTTCATCCAGCATCAAAAACCTGAGAAGATCTGTGTGGGCAAGGGGAAGGAAGGGGTTGTTTGGGGGCCAGCATGTCCATGGCCCAGGCCACTGTAGGGCCTCAACTCCTTATCCTGTGAGTGGGGTGCTGTTGTCCTTTAGCAGGCTTTAGAGTTAATATCCATGAGCCTTCATGGTCAAATCGGGATAATTGATTTTGTTGCCTGAGGTTTCACACTGCTTTAATGAGGTAATAGCCTGTCCAAAACAGTGGCTGGTTGTAATTCCTCTATCTTGATACTAGGCAGAAGATATGGTTCAGGGTATGACCAGCTGTGTGGGTTGGACCAGACGTTTCAAGTTGGGCATCTAAAGTCACTAGTCACATTTGAAACTCTTGGCTTTGGGGGCCATTGTAGGGTACTGGGCTGGAGCCATAGCGTTTAGTTCACAGTGAAAATGTTGAAACTTTGGTATATGAAAGCTTCACAATTTTCTGAGGGCAACTTGTATTAGATGGAGCCATGGACTCTGTCAGCATCTCAAAGGGGAATTTGGACAGAGATTTTCAGTTTAGTGACCACTCAGGGCATTTCTGTATTAGGAAAATTTTGACCTGTAAATTTTCTGATACAGCTCCATCAGTGGTAGCAATGGTGGAAGCTGTAATGTGGACAAGGTGCAAGCATCTTTATATAGGGTCATCAAATACCTGTGGTCTATTTTTACCTTATACCATCCACTGTTTCTAGCACTGGTGGAGCTGCACTGATTGAGAATTTTATATATGATTTACACATGCACCCCAATTCAGAGAGCTCCAGACAGAACCAGAATTGGAACCAAGGGCTAATTCTTCACTGTCTACATTGTGTATGGTTATTTAGGTGTGTGGAAAAGGCAGGTCAGAATGGTTGTATATTACACCCACTTTGCCCAGGAGTAAAAAGAAAATGGGAAATCTGGCCACTAGTTTTTAGTGCCACTTCAGGCTGGTGCTCTGGTGACTGGAGGCTGTTTACTAGTGGTCCAGGCTGGATCCTGTAGCTGTTTTTTGGGGGTGGGGTGGGGAACTGATGTTACAGCTGAAAGCATGAGCTAATTTTTGCTTCCCATCTCAGTTTAGCACTCCCAAATTCCCAGCAGTCATAAATCCACAGATGGGAGGGGTCAAGTTGGCTGTAACTGAGTTCTGTGTGTAAATAGAAGAGACTGACCCTTTTCTAACCTGGCCATTTTCCCAGCTAGCAAACTTTTTGGTGGCTGTTACTGCTTTTAGGCCATCTGGATTAATTTTACATGTGAAATATTTTGGCTCCTTGTGGGTGAATTTCACCTTGATGCAGAATAAAAGCTAAAGTCTGTATGCACTTAAACCCTGCATTAAGACTTGAAGCAGGGCTTATAGTTGGTGCACAGTGCATTAAAGATATGGCAGACATGAGTGCTGGTAGGATTTGTCTTTTCATTACCTGGTTCCAGTCATCTGATGCAGGGCAGGATTACAAAAGATCATAGGGCAAGGAGCTGTAGCCACTGACTGTTAGGCAAAGCACCTGCAACTTAGGGTGAAATTCACCCCATGTGTGCATGCATAGTTGCCAGCAGCCCTGGTTTGGCAGGGGGCACTTCTGAGAGCTTGTAGTCCTGCCTAAGGATCTGTGTAGCCTTTTAAAAAACTAAACAGCTGTTTTCCTGGCTGCTCAGTAGCTCCCTCTTCTGTCCCCTGCCAACTTCTCTCAGCTTTAGGCAGCCAGCTGCCATCTCCAGCCCTTGCTAAGATGAGCCCAGCTCCAGAAGCAGTTGCAGGGGTGTGGGGGACTTGCTATATTGGGAGACAGCTATCTGCAGTTTAGAGAAGAAGCCACTAGGGGCCAGAGGAGAGGGCTGCTCAGCAGCTGGAAGAGGTACCTTAATATGGGCACAGAGGCCAATCCTAAAACAGAAAGGGAAAGCAGGAGGAAAGAAAACAACCCAGGAAGGATGAGAAGAGGAAAGTGGAGTTGTAGAACTATATTTCAGTCTCTATCTTCATTATTTAGACTAGGGCCAGTTCTCCTTTTACCTAATATCCCTTTATGCCACTCTCATAGTGAAGAAGCCTCCTCAAAATACTCCCATGGAAGAGTGCTCCCTCAATGGCACAGTCCCACTTCTAGCCTCCAGTGAAAGGGAGCAGTCAGGTGTGAGCTGGGGGTTGGAACTGGGAGGGAGGGAGAATTGCTAGAGTAGTATGCTGGCTATTCTCCCTTTGCCCAAGACCACAGAAGGCCAGGGAAGGTAGAGCTTAAGTTAGAGCAAGCTGAATGCTGCTCTAATTGAGGCCAGGGCCAAGCTTGCCTCAAAACAGGGGGTGTTCAAAGCCAGTTTCACTCCCTTTCTCCAACCATTCTTGTGTCAAGCATAGGAGTGGACTGATTAAGAATCAGGGCCCCTTTTGAGACTACCGAATTGTCTCAAGGGTGAGTGAGATACCCGTCCACTAGAACTGTACTGCGCTCCATTAGTCCATTCCACACAGACTGTTGAACCCCTGTCCTATACTAGTGACTTTTGATCCCTACTGACCTGAGTCTGAGTCAACCTACCAGCCTTAGAGGTGAACGGCTGTGTATCCAGTTGCAAACTGCAGGAGCCTGCCTATCCTTCCCAAAAGAATTTTTAAAAAAAATCCTGAATGGGTAATGACATGAATGAATAAATCATAATAATGATTCAAGTAACCATATGAATGAATAATTCATCGTAAGATTTGAAAAATGAATCATAGTAAATTGCTTTTTACCATCACAAGATAAATGATTTTTTTTAAAAGGATCTATTTTTTGGGGGTCATGTGATGCATAAATTGCCTAATTATGCATGATGTAAACAGGAACCGCAGCCCCTGGTGCACAGAAAACAAGAGGAGGGGAAAAAACTACGGAAAGTTAAAATAATTTAATAGTTGATTCTCATCTCCTTTCTGAAGACAGAAACAGGAAGAAGAAAAGGAGGACTTGTGGCACCTTAAAGACTAACAAATTTATTTGAGCATAAGCTTTCCTGAGCTACAGCTTGCTTCTTGGTTAGTCTCTAAGGTGCCCCAAGTACTCATTTTCTTTTTGTGAATACAGACTAACACGGCTGTTACTCTAGAACCAGGAAGAGCAGCAAACAACTGGTCAGAAATGTTCCAGGCGTTAACAAAAAAAGAATTTTGCCAGGTAACTAGACTGGAAAGGGAGAGAGGTCAAGGAATGCTTTGCTTCTACACTGTATGCTGTTTAGGGATGGTGTGGGCTGAGGAGGTGGCTGGAAGCCAACAAAGGCATCAGATGCTACAACAATAAAAGCCTAGATAATAATAGGTAGCACTGGTAAAGTACTCTTCATCAAATGACCAAATGGCTCATTGCAAGGAGGGGAAGGAGCATTAGCCCCTTTTACAGACAGAGAAACTGAGCCACAGTGAGATTAAGTGATAGCAGGAGCTGGTAAGAGATGTTAAGACCAGAAAAAGACTGTTAGTGTTAGATCACCTAGTGTGCTCTCTTGTAGTACACAGGACACAACATTTCACTGGGTTACCCCGACTGAGCTCAGGTCTCCTGATTTCCCTCTAGATTACCCAAGTAATTTCCATTCACAAAGCCGCTTTCCTAAAGGGTAACACATTTTTGTTCTTTTTAATATATGTGATCAGATCATACATATAAAGTGAGGCTCTGGAGGCTGTTTAAAACCAGCCTGTGACTTCCTCAAGGTCAGATAGTCATGAGCAAAAAAAGGGAGCACGCTCCAGGTCTCCTGGAGCCGCGTTTCCCAGCCCTGAACACTGGATCATGCTGCCTTGTTTTCTGTCGTTCGCCAGGGCTTAGGTTAACAAAACTGTTTCATTGCGAGTAGGGGGAGCTGCTAGCTCCAGAGCAAGCCCCTGAGTTGGAAGCATCTGGCTGCAAAGCAATTCGCGTGGGGGAAGGTCATGCATCCATCCGTTGGGATGGGAGGGCTGTAGCGAACTACACCTTCCCCCTGGGAGCTCGTAGGGCCGCTGGTGGGGAGGGTAGTGCGGACACAGATTTCCCCACCCCCGCCCCCGGGAGTTTACTGTTGCTGCATCCTCCGGCTGGGTGGGAGGGGGGTATGGGGAGTAAGGCGGAGGCAGGCACCAGTCACCGCTCCACGCCTAGCTGTGCGTGTAGGGAGTAGAGGACGGAGCTCGAGGAGCTGCGGCACCAGCGAGAGGCCAGGGCGAGGGGCAGGCGCCCAGACACCCAGCCGATGCCCGGCGAGGAGAAGCGGGGCGCAGCCCGCGCCGCAGCGAGAGAGCGAGAGCCAGGCACCGCCAGAGGCTGAGCCGGTGCGCGGAAGGAGCAACAGGCAGAGGGGAGGCGGAGCCGGGCTGGAAGGACAGACTGAGCGGCCCCGGTCCCCCGAGAGGCGCGAGGGACAGACAGACCTAGATCCCCCGCCCCGGAGAAGAGAGAAACTGGCAAGCGGGAGCGACAGACACACCCCGGCTCCTGAAGGAGAGGGAAGGACAGCCAGCGAGCCGGCCTCCGGGAGGTGAAACGGGGACAGCCGGACAGACCGCTAGCTCCAGCCCCCAGCGGGGGAAGGGAGGACAGACGGACCCAGACCCCAGCAGCAGCGGGTAGAGGGACAGACGGACCCAGACCCCAGTCGGGGGGGGGGGGGAAGGGAGGACAGACGGACCCAGACCCCAGCAGCAGCGGGTAGAGGGACAGACGGACCCAGACCCCAGTCGGGGGGGGGGGAAGGGAGGACAGACGGACCCAGACCCCAGGCAGCAGCAGCGGGTGGAGGGAGCGCGCAGCTTGCGCTGGGCAGAGCAGCGGGCATGAGGGCGGAGGAGCCCCTGTCTCTCGCAGGGGTCGGGGGCGGCTGCGGAGAGGCGGAGGCGGCCGGGGAGGAGCGGAGCGGCAGCTGCTGCAGCAGCGAGCGCCTGGTGATCAACATCTCCGGACTGCGGTTCGAGACCCAGCTGCGGACCCTGTCGCTCTTCCCGGACACGCTGCTGGGGGACCCGAGCCGCCGGGTGCGCTTCTTCGACCCGCTGCGCAACGAGTACTTCTTCGATCGGAACCGGCCCAGCTTCGACGCCATCCTCTATTACTACCAGTCCGGGGGCCGGCTCCGCAGGCCGGTCCATGTGCCCCTGGACGTCTTCATGGAGGAGATCCGCTTCTACCAGCTGGGCGAGGAGGCCATCGAGACCTTCCGGGAGGACGAGGGCTTCATCCAGGAGGAGGAGAAGCCCCTGCCTCAGCAGCATTTCCAGCGCCAGGTGTGGCTCCTTTTCGAGTACCCGGAGAGCTCTGGGCCGGCCCGGGGCATCGCCATCGTCTCGGTGCTGGTGATCCTCATCTCCATAGTCATCTTCTGCCTGGAGACCCTGCCCGAGTTCCGCCAGGAGAGCAAGGGCGCACCGCCGGGCTTTGCGGAGGGCGCGCACCGGGAGGACGGGCAGTTCTTGCTTCCTGAGCAGCCAAATGGCACCCCGTCCCCGATGCACCCCTCTCCCAGGGCAAGCCCCTTCTTCACTGACCCCTTCTTCCTCATCGAGACCCTGTGCATCATCTGGTTCTCCTTCGAGCTGCTGGTGCGCTTCTTCGCCTGCCCCAGCAAGCCCGAGTTCTCCAGGAACATCATGAACATCATCGACATCGTGGCCATCATCCCCTACTTCATCACCCTGGGCACCGAGCTGGCTCAGGAGCAGCAGCAAAAACAGCAGCCTAGGAACAACATTAACAACAACGGGGGCCAGCAGCAAGCCATGTCCCTAGCCATCCTCAGGGTCATCCGCCTGGTCAGGGTCTTCAGGATCTTCAAGCTCTCCAGACACTCCAAGGGGCTGCAGATCCTGGGGAAAACCCTCCAGGCGAGCATGAGGGAGCTTGGTCTCCTCATCTTTTTCCTTTTCATCGGTGTGATCCTCTTCTCTAGCGCTGTGTATTTTGCTGAGACTGATGACCCAGAATCTTTGTTCACCAGTATCCCCGATGCTTTCTGGTGGGCAGTAGTGACCATGACCACTGTGGGCTATGGGGACATGTACCCTATGACAATCGGGGGCAAGATCGTGGGCTCCTTGTGCGCCATTGCTGGTGTGTTGACCATAGCCCTGCCCGTACCTGTCATCGTGTCCAACTTCAATTACTTCTACCACCGAGAAACTGAGCAGGAGGACCAGTGTCAGTACACCCATGTCACCTGTGGCCAGCAGCAATCTCCTTTCTCGGCACCTAAAAAGAGGGACAGTAATCAGTCCCTCAGTAAATTAGAATTTCTGGAGGCAGAAGATTTAGAATCTATGAAATATCCCAACTTCATTCCAACCAGCAACCAGGGCTACAGAGGGAGGAAAATGCTGACAGAAGTGTGATCAGCTTCTCTAACAGGGTGTGGAATAAGACTGGACTTTTACAGTTCTTCTACCCTCGCCCCATTCTCCTGGATCCCAAAGCTGGATCCCAAGCTGCTGCACATTCTCTCTCCCAGTAGTAGCTGCATATGTTCAAGACAAAACACCAGACTGCGAATTGTGATGCCGAAAACAAATTGCTTGTGATTTGGACACTCCTGTCCTTGATTGCTATGTCTCATTAGCTTGTGCAATTGGATATTCTTTTGCTTTACCCTATAGATCAAGGGAGCCCACTTGTTGTCCCCTTCCCCTTCCATTTTATTTTTGGTATGGGGCGGAGCTTTATTCCAGTTGTAGCTCTGAAGACTAATTATTCTAGTACATCAACAAAAGAAAAGCCCAGACCACGTTTGTTGCTAAAAGATCAGGCAGGGAATAGATCAAATGGGCTACTAACAGCTGTCTCAAGCTGTGGTGGTGAATTCCTGTGCTGGTGCAGTGACCTTGGTTGGGGGATCAGTCATGCCTGCCTTGCTGTTGCCTTGGGAGAATGGAAATGTTGGATCCAGCATTGCATTGTGTTCTGCAGATGTAGGGAAAGTCAACGAGTGCCCTACCTCTGACACTTTCCCCTGGGTTTGCACTGCAGTACACATGTAAGGGCCTCTTTGTTATAAGATTTTCAGATCTAAAAGCACTTTAATTGTCAACTAATTGCAACGATAGAAGTTGTGACCAATATTCACCATCTGTGGCATGGCAGAAACAGTTGTTTTTTTAAAATTTATCGTAATTATTTTCTTATTCTTTGTGTTTTGAACAAATTTCACCTTTGTTTCCATCGGTGCCCTAGTGTTAATTAGCATTTATCATAGCAACACCATCTTTGTGCCTGTAAGTGACTTCCTATGCAAGGCACGTTTGGGCTAATTCCTTTGTCTTCCGACACGTACCACATAAGTGTTTTAATGAAATGTACTTTATGCTACAAGTATCCAGTTCTGTACTTAGAACCATGGGAGCCGTTGACTTCACTGGGGTGTGTAGTTCTGAATTTAAGGGCTTGTATAGATCAGGGAAATTTGCAATGGTGTAGTTACACTGCTGCAGACCCCTGCTGTAGACACTGCATCAGTGCAAAATGGGGCTTACATTGGTATGACCAACCCACCGGGGTCAGTCACACCAGTATAGCTGTGTCATTAGGGGTATGCATTGCCACCAGTGCAAATATCCCTAATCTATCTAGATAAACCCTAAAGGCATAACTGGGATCTTTTGAATGAGGACCAAGACCTAAAGGCCTAATCTTGGAAAGATGCTGCTGTCTTAACAAGAAATACCCAAAATGTAAGTTTAGATGGAAGGTGCACCAAGATCGTTCACATACTCCAGGTTCTTATGAGAGCACCATTTGTCAGCAGTGCAAAAGGCACACGCTGGTCTGAAGCATTATGCTTATCAGTGAGCACATTTTACATCTCAAGGTGCATCTACTGTATCTCAGATCATCTCACTAGTTAAAATAACTGCCTTTTTTCTGATTTTTAAAAAAAATTGCTCAACACCTTTCCTTGTTGGAGAGCAAGTGGGGAGGAAAGGGAAATTGGTGGTTAAGCCTCGACAGACTTTATCATGGTCTTTCCTCATTTAAGCCCTGATCCTGCACTGAGAACTGTGTGGGCAAACCTCAACACTTTTGTGCTCACCCTGAGTCCCACTGACTTCAAAGGGGCTCTGTATTGGGTGTAGTGATCTCTCTGCACAGTTCTTAGTGGAGGATCAAAGCATTAGGCCTTGATCCTTCTCCTACTGAAGTCAGTAGCAAAAACTACCGTGGATTTCCATGGTGCAAGATCAGGTCCTTAGGCCTGATTGTGAGATGTGATGAGTACTATCAAATCCCATTGAAACTGATGGTAGCTGATAGTTCAGCACAAAGCTATTTTGTTTGGTTGTATTTCAGGAAGACTGTTTTACATAATGAATTATTATGATTTTTTTTTCTATGGCGGAGACTGTTTGTGCTCAGACTCTTTGTGGTACCAGCAGGTGTGCAGTAGCTCTGCTGAATGGCCTTTTTGAGAGACACCGCTTGAGGTATCCAGGGCACTGCTGTCTCTCAGCACAATGCCTGTGCTATTTTTGGGGTTGTTTTTATGTATGTGTATTCTAGCTGCTAAAAGTTTCCCTAAACTGAGATATAAAAAACTCAGATTAAACAAAAGTTCAGGAGGAGAGACAAGACATACTGTTATCTGCTTCAGAAGCTTAAATTCCTTAGCCCATTCTTCCCTGGGTCCTGACACCGGCATCATTGATCGGCAGAAACCCTTGTCTTCTAAGACCATTTAGATTCAGACCAAATTGCTGGCAGGACAATCTCCATAACCTAACTCCAGCACGAAGGTGTGGTCCAGGTGTCCTAGAATTGTTTGTTTAAGGGATGCTCTCCACTTAAATATGGGGCTTTTGTGGTGTGTGTAGGTTTTATGGTCAATAGAAATATCTCTACAAAACAAAGAAACATGCTAGTGAAAGCAGTCTGCTGCAAACAACTCCCTGCAGTGTTTGCCACCCAAACTTTTCAACACTGAGAAGAACTTGCAGATGAAACTGTCTATGAAAAATACCTGAAATTGACTTTATGGATTTCCTTTGCCATAACTGAGAGGCAAAAAGGAAACAAGGGTCCAAATATGCAAACTTGGGTGCCTAAAGTTAGGCATCCAAAATCCAATATTTTAAGCACTTTAGAGAACGTGGGCTGATTTTTCAGGGTTGTTGAGCATTTGCAATTATTGTGGGTGCTCAGCACTTCTCAGCAGAGGGTCACTTTTATTTAGGAATTATGGGTGGGAGAGAAGAAAATGCCCAAGTGATTTAGCTGCACACATCCCACTGGCTTTCAATAGAACTTGTGCTCTCACATCACTTAGAGTGGGATTTTTGAAAACACCTAAGTTCCTGACTTTAGGCATTCATTTGGGATATAAGAGGCTGTTTTGCTATCTATCTATTTTCCTTCTTAAGTCCGAGCACATCTTTGTGAAGCATTTGTGGAAACTAGGAATCTCCAGGGACTTGTTTCCATAACAACCTCACAGACTGTTTCTCTGTACCTTGTGACTTTGGCTACAAGTAAAAACACTGGCTAAATATTCCAAGTTCCCAGACACAAACATCTCATTATTACAGCTGTTTGGAAAAGGCTATAGTGTGGGGGGTGGGGGTAAGGGTGATGGGGGGGGGGGGGGTTGGGTTCCCTGTGCTTGCCAAAGAAGTCTGCTCCCCACCCAAACACATCAAGCTCAAGACTGATGCGTGTTGCAAATATTTGAAGGCAACATTTGAAAGCAGACAATACAGGAAATCAGAAGACATTCAGTCTGTATATCTTTGCAAACAGAGAGGTCGGTAGCCATGGAAGGGCATCCTGAGGCTGTCAGTCCAATGGCTGGAGGGACAAAAGGCCTGTGAATTTGAAATCAACTGGATGCCCCATGACAGGAACCCTGAAACCTAAAGCCGTGAATTAAATAAAAGTCACAAATATTTCAATTCTCAGCAGAAAAAGAATCTTGCTGTTGAAGAGACTATTGATTCTTTCCAAGCCCTTTTGCTGAAGAGAATACTGTAGCCCTGGCTATTTCCCTAAGGGATATTTTGTACAAAATCAAGCCAAGGCAGAGTGTCTGGAGGAGGGATGGAAGAATTCTAATGACAATTTTTTTTTTAGCCTCCTTTTGTCCTGCAGCAGTTTGGAAATGCACAAAGGATTGTTTTGTAATCTTCCAAAGACATTGCATTCTTGGGAGCTAATGCACAGACACCCCCCTGAGATGAAAATTTTATTTCTTTCATATTGAAAGTGTTGCAACTCAGGCTTTTCAAGCATTTTCCCCTGTGCCCTGCTCTTTGAGTGTCTACAGCTGGAGAGAAGATTTGCTCCTGCTGTGGTGGTGAAAGTGAATTGACTGGAAGCTTCTGCCAGGGGCCCATCAGTTTAATGTAGAAAGATTCCTGTGGCAACAAAGAAGAGTGAGTCAAAGGAAATTCAGTGCAGCAAGAAGCAGGGCAGGGGGGAAGGTGTCTCTCCAGTGTGCTGGACAGAACACAGTCCTCCCCAAAAGGAAAGGTGCAGAGACAACTACCTCACCTGCTGTTGCAGAAGAAGTCGGTAAGATTTTTCCCTTTCCATCTATGAAATTAACCCCTGATTTCTTTGCAGTTAAAGTGAATGATTTTCCAATTAAGATTTGAAGCCTGCTGGGAGAATCTTATCCTAGGTGAAGAGAGAGAGATTATAGATTACAAAAATAAACTATGGGACAGATCCTCAGCTGGTGTAAATTGTCATAACTCCATTAACTTCAGTGCAGCTACACTGATTTGCACCTGAATCTGTCCCTATCTTTTTAATCAAGGAAAAAATATTCTTTGTTAAAATGTAGGGTTTCCCCTACTCCAAACCTATAATATAAATGCTCTGTTTACATCAGGGAAATAATGTGTGGTTTGCAACAGGTGTCAGCCACCGGTTTCCCACAGGCCCTCTTCTCAGTTACACTTATGTAAATCTGAAGCAATTCCATTGCATTCAGTGGAATCTCCCCAGATTTAAATTGGCATGAATAAGAATAGAATTATTAATAAATGCCAGAAATGTGCCTGACAGTTTACAGCCAAGTTAAAGACAGTGGAACAGCTTCTGATCTCAGTTACATCAGTGTAAATCCAGAGAAACTCTGTTTACACTACTGTAACTGTGATCAGATTCTGATCTCTGTCCTTTCTCCTAAGAGTTTACAGTCTAAGGTCTGTATCTAGGAAACACTTATGTATGTGTTTGACTTTACACATGTGAGAAATCCCCTGGAAGTCAAAGTTAAGCATGGAAGCAGGTGTCTGCAGGATCATGGCTTAAGGTCCTGATCCTGTGACATACTGACCACCTCCCAGAGTGTGCTGTGTACCCTCATCTACCGCCAAAGTCAATGTGAGATGAAGCCATTTCCAGGAGGAGCTCAGCCCTGTGAAGGATTAGGCACTAAATTAAATTGACACGACTAAGGAAAATAACAAACATGGGAGAGGTCATGGGGAAGGTGTACAATGGTTCCAGCAGTAAGGTCATGCCCTTGCTTTTGTGATCCAGGCACACATCTTGACAGTTATGTAAGGCTTGGCTGTACTTTGAATTTTGATTGTTTCAAAGGCCATACTGGGGTTTGTTAGGTGGGCAGAAGGGCCTGGATGTTTTAGGTCAGTCTTTTTTTTTTTAAACAATTTTGTGAACAAATAACCATGATGTTAACTGTGGGTTTAGAATTGCTATGACACAAGCATTTGGCTGGTTCCTGCAGGTTAAAGGGAATGTCCACATCTTCTCTAGTCTGAGTTAGAGAAGGGGAAGAAATAGATTTAGCTTTGCTAAATGTGCCTTTTTGGGGGGTGATTTCTGAGGAGAGATTTGGGCACACATGTTTCCATGAACAGCTTAGCTTACTTAAGCAGCCAGAGGCAATGGTCTCTAGTGGTTAGAAAACAGGACTGATGGCAAGAGGAGATCTCTGTTCTTGCCCCAACTGCCACTGAACTGTAGCATGGCCTTGAGCAAGTCACTTCACCAATTTTCTCCATTTTCCTCATCTGTTAAATGGGCATAAAGTTCTGTGTGAAGACAGCTAAAAAGTACCGGAGATACACAAAACACTTATTATTATGGCCCACGTGCATTTCAAGATTCTCCTCTCACCCCAGTTTTGTACAGATGTAATTTCACTGATTTAACTGGGTGTGAGAGGAGAATCAGGCCCAATATCTCTTTAAGCTTAGCTGTTGTTTCCTGTGCATAAACTTATGCAGGGTTCTAAACACAAGTATTTAGAATACAGTTCCTCAGCTGGTGTGAATCAGCACAGCAGCTATGCTGATTTTCACCAGCTGAGGATCTGGTCCTTAGAGTACAGCTTGGCTTATTCTCTTACATGCTCAGAGAACTGAAATGGCATTTTACAAGAAAATTGCTACATCAGTGTCTCCTCTTGATGCTTTTCAATGTGTCTGTTTTCAATTAGCATGATGGCATCCATTTTCAGGAAACAGAGACCAGGCCAGATGCTGCACTCACCTTACACTGATACAGTTTTGGAATAATTCCTCTGAATGTTAGTGAAATTACTCCAGATTTACACCAGTGTAACTGAAAGCAGAATCTGACCCAGGATCTTTTCCTATGAACAAATGCGCTGTGCTTTTTGTACGGAGCAGCTTTCCAATGCTTCACCTGCAGCATAGGGGTGCCTCACACCAGTCAAACTTAGGGCCATGTTGTACTCTGAACTCAGCTACGCCCTGAGTCCTTCCATTGAAATCACTGCTCATAGTTTAACTGAGGGCAGAATTTGGTCTGTTCTGGGCAATGCAGTGTTATCAGGTGCCCTGGTCTTATTTTTTTTTCAGGATGGAATAATAATGGCCAGTCCTGATCCTCCAGATTGCCTTAAAATCTTTCCCATTGCCATTTTCACTAGCTTCAATCTCTCCTGCTCTGCTCAGTTTGCATTTCCTGAGACGGCAGTACCCCTCTGAGGCATCACGTTGCCTATATTCTCAAATTCATTATTGAGAACACAACCCAACATGGAGAATTTCCATACAAAATGTCTGATCATGCCATCAGTTTTGGGCAAAACTCCTATTGACTTCAACAGGTGTTTTGTGGGCAGGAAATTAGGTCAGGATCTGGAGCAAAGGGAATATGACCCCAAGCTTAGCACAATTGGTTGGGTAGCAGGGAAAGTAGGTCACTGATCTGATACCCCAACACTGGATGTCAGGGACCAGACCACTAGGACCAGCTGCTGGCCTGCTCCCTCACTAACTTCGCTACTAGGCAACCAGGCTCTGCCTCTCTCTGGTTTTTGATTCTGATCGACTCTCCAGTTCTGTCATTTGGCTTCTGTCCCTCTGGCACTGACCCTCAGCTCATTTCCTGGACTCTGCCCATCTTGGATCCAACTCTAACCAGTAGGACAAACTCTTGTTTCCCCCCTAGGCATGACTGCCCAAGGCCCGATTGGCTACAGTGGAGAATAATTGTAACTATACTGTGTCAAATTAACTCCTGGTGTAACTCCACTGACTTCAGGAAGAATTTGGAGTATCGAAGCATTGCTTAGTATGTTGCCTTTCTGCTCTAGTTCGAGTCACAGTAAGAAGTGGCTCTGAGTTTTTGGTGTTTGATCCCTTGAGGGACATACGTACATGCCATAGAAATTAGATGTGGGAAAAGGCCTATTAATTTCCACCTGGTCCATCAGTCTGAAGGAGCCAATGCAGGACTGTTCCCTACATTTTACCAAGCAAACACAGAACGCTTTGTTACTCTCTAAGGGCACATTCCTGCTCCCACTGACTTCATTCAGGCAGGATAATCTTATTGTTAAGGCTAAGATTTAATTATGGGTATTTTTAGTAAAAGTCATGGACAGCTCACAGGCAGTAAACAAAAATTCATGGCCCATGAGCTGTCAGTGACTTGTACTATATACCCTTGACTAAATCTTGGGTGTCCTGGAGGGGGGACTTCTGGGCACCTCTGAGGCTGGGGGCGGCCCTGGGGTGCCACTGGTGTTCTGAGGTGGAAGCTGGCCCAGGGGCTCAGCTGTTGTTTGAGCGGTGGGGGGGCATGCGCAGCCGGGGACCGCTGCTGGTGCTCCGGGGGTGTGTGGCCCAAGACAGCCTCGGGAGTGAGGGGCGGCCCGAGACAACCACTGGTGCTCGGTCGGGGATGGGAGGCGGATGGCCTGAGACTGCTGCTGGTGCTCCGTGAAGGGGGTGGGAGGGCTGCTCAAGACTGTTGCTGCTGCTGGAGGTGGGGGCGGGGGGGAAACACGGGGTGGCCCTAGAGTGCCCCAGCAGTGGCCAGTGCAGCTGGCCCAGGAGTCAGTTGTGCTGGCCGCTGCAGAAGTCACGGAGGTCCCGGAAAGTCACAGAATCCATGACCTCTGTGACAGACTCGCAGCCTTACTTGTTGTCCTTTCCATTGCTCTTTCCTTCTCTTACCTTACCTCAGGGTTGTTTTTTCCTCTGGTTTGTTTTTATCTTCATGTATTGTCCAGTCTTGCAACCCTTACTACCAGGTGTAGTTTCTACTAATTTGAGCAATCCCATTGGATTTAAGGGGTGCAGCATCTTGTATGTCTTTCTAAA